ATTCTTTACATGAATCTAATCAAGAATTCCTTCTTGGAGTATTCCTTTATGTCCCCCAGAGTGGTTTTATAGTTTTCTTTTTAAGGTTGTTGTATGTTTCTTGTACATTTGGTCACTTATATTTCACTACTTTTTAAATTGGTAATAGTAGTACTATTGTGAATGAGATCTTTTTCCATTGTTTTCTAACTGACCAACTGGTTTATATTAATTTTTATATGTTTACTGTTCAATTAACTTCTTGAACTAATAGTTTTTCTATTTATTCTCTTACATTCTCCAGGTTTTGAATAACATAACTGTAAATAACGCGTTTTCCGTATATTTACTTCCAATATCTAATTACGTGAAATTTAAAAATTGTAAAGGATATGTCTTATTACTAATAGGTTTCATTAATTTTGCATAGACATAAGAAAAACTATCAGTCAATAAACTTACCTGTTTTGATTAGTTCAGGGAAGTTTTAATTATTATTTCATTTTTATGGTTTTTTGGGAGAGTCACACCTATAATTCAAAGTTGTATTTTCATTTGCTTTTTTGTTGGCTCTTATTTTTTTCTTGTCCCTTTTCTCTACACTTTTGAGTGGTCAGATTTACCTGGGTGACCTGGGAAATATTCTATAGTGTCAGTTATTTGCAACTCCTATGGGAATTTGCATTTGGGGTTTCCTCTTATTTTTTGCATATTCCAGGATACTCCCCCTTTTATTCTCCCTTTATCTCAACTCATTTTTTTATGACTAAGTAAAATGGAAGATTAATTTTTAAACAGGTCTTTGTGCACAACAGAGCATTGGTACTTCACAGACCTCACCTTGTTTACTTCTCACAAACTCTAAGATAGCTGTTACAGGTAGAGACAGGATTTAAAGCCACATCTTCTGCCTCCATAATCCATGTTCTAACAACCCTCCCAGGGGGTTTCATATGCCCTTGGGCCTCCTCCTTGTTCATATGAGGGTGCAGTTCCTTACAGATCTATACCTGGAGTGAGAGGGCCTCATAACTGTGTCAATTTCAGTGCCTGTTGGACTAAGGCGTGAGCATCTGCCCCAATTCTTAGATAATCTGTCTTTGCTAGAATCAGACAAATGTTTTTTGTATCTGTTGTACTTCCTCCAGCCTTTGCTGCCATCTAGGGATGCTCCTCTTTCCATTCATTTGAAGGCTCTTTGTGGCAACTATACATCCAGGGGTGAAAGTCCCCCTTCCTTCTCACTCTGCAGGTATACCAAGAGTTGAAAGCTATAGTCTCTAAAATATAGGTGAAAGCAAGGAGCTGGGATACTGAGGGGTGGGCATAGAACTGAACTCTAGCCAACTCAGATGATGTGTGGGTAGTACAGGACTTGATTTTTTAGGCAGTGTAGCTCCTATATCCCAAGTCAGAGGTAGTGACTGAGTTGGGGCTTCCTCCTACCTACTCTGCAGCCAGTTTGGGTCAATGAATCAAATGATTGACACTGGAGTTGGTAAAAATTCTCAGTGAGTATGGGCACAGGGTTTCCTCTTTAGTTTCTGGACTGTTGCCATCTTTATGGATATTTTTACATGAAGCTGGGGATGAACCTATAATTCAAAGTTGTATTTTCATTTGCTTTTTTGTTGGCTCTTATTTTTTTCTTGTCCCTTTTCTCTACACTTTTGAGTGGTCAGATTTACCTGGGTGACCTGGGAAATATTCTATAGTGTCAGTTATTTGCAACTCCTATGGGAATTTCCATTTGGGGTTTCCTCTTATTTTTTGCATATTCCAGGATACTCCCCCTTTTATTCTCCCTTTATCTCAACTCATTTTTTTATGACTAAGTAAAATGGAAGATTAATTTTTAAACAGGTCTTTGTGCACAACAGAGCATTGGTACTTCACAGACCTCACCTTGTTTACTTCTCACAAACTCTAAGATAGCTGTTACAGGTAGAGACAGGATTTAAAGCCACATCTTCTGCCTCCATAATCCATGTTCTAACAACCCTCCCAGGGGGTTTCATATGCCCTTGGGCCTCCTCCTTGTTCATATGAGGGTGCAGTTCCTTACAGATCTATACCTGGAGTGAGAGGGCCTCATAACTGTGTCAATTTCAGTGCCTGTTGGACTAAGGCGTGAGCATCTGCCCCAATTCTTAGATAATCTGTCTTTGCTAGAATCAGACAAATGTTTTTTGTATCTGTTGTACTTCCTCCAGCCTTTGCTGCCATCTAGGGATGCTCCTCTTTCCATTCATTTGAAGGCTCTTTGTGGCAACTATACATCCAGGGGTGAAAGTCCCCCTTCCTTCTCACTCTGCAGGTATACCAAGAGTTGAAAGCTATAGTCTCTAAAATATAGGTGAAAGCAAGGAGCTGGGATACTGAGGGGTGGGCATAGAACTGAACTCTAGCCAACTCAGATGATGTGTGGGTAGTACAGGACTTGATTTTTTAGGCAGTGTAGCTCCTATATCCCAAGTCAGAGGTAGTGACTGAGTTGGGGCTTCCTCCTACCTACTCTGCAGCCAGTTTGGGTCAATGAATCAAATGATTGACACTGGAGTTGGTAAAAATTCTCAGTGAGTATGGGCACAGGGTTTCCTCTTTAGTTTCTGGACTGTTGCCATCTTTATGGATATTTTTACATGAAGCTGGGGATGGATAATCAGGGACTGCTAATCCCTGGCTATGTCTAACATGTTTAATGAACATCTGTATTACACAATGGATTTGGTATTTAGACTCATTCTTAAGGAACATACATGGACTGCCCCATCAACACCTAACAGTCTGAATCTAGATTTCTTTCTATGAAATAACATTTCCTAGGCTTGTCTTTGTATGTAGGAAGATCCCACTATTCCTAGAGCCTTATGGATTAGCAGAATGTTCTTAGGACAATTTTCAAGTGGTACATGTTTTAGAAATCACTGTACTAAAAAATAGTAGTGTTGAAAATAGAATTAAGGGTTGAGCTTGGGTGTTTTCTTGTCTGGAGATGTGCTTGAGGAAGCTGAGAACCAGGTCAAAGTGACCTGACAGGATTTACTGGTCTTGAGAATTATCTTGTGCAGATAAAAAAATCTCTTTACACTGTGAATTGTGGAAGCCCTTGGCACACTTAGAATCTCTTGCCTCAATAAAGCCGAGCTAAGGACATTATAAAATGCTACCTTACTTTTTTTCCATTTCAGAAGAACCCAAGTTATTTTCTACTTCTATGCCAAAGCTATTAGACAACATATGTATCAAAAATATTAAATGTGTAATTGGATATCTCATTTACATTAAGTGATCCTCATTCCTGTCCCCATGTTACCCCCTTGTGATGGCTAGCTTTATGTCAACATGTCATCAAGTTTTGTTTATATATTTACAAACAACAGCCACTTGACTTTAAGTAGATCACACTCAATAAAGTGAGTGGGCTTCATTCAATCAGTTGACAGCCTTGAGAACAGGAACAGGTTTCCCAGACAGAATTCTGCCTTAATACCACGATACAGAAACCCTGCCAGCCTGTTCAAAAGATTTAGACCTGTCAGCCTGAGAAAATTTAACTGCATGAGGAAATTCCTTAAAATCTCTTTATACATACACACAATACTTTAAAATGTTTACTTGGTTCTTGCCCCTATTTAACTGTAAGCGCAAAGCTGTGTATTTTATCTTACACATCTTTGTAACTTCAAATTCCAGCACAATGCTTTCTCAAATTCTCAGTACTCTATAAATACTTAAAACTAATGGATGAGAGAATAATCCCTTCATAAAAGACTGTCAGATCAGGACACAAGTGATCACTGAGGCAAGGACGATTAACAGGGCCAGGAGCTAGGAATCTTGGGCAAAATGAAGCTGGAAAGCAGGCAGCTCAAAACTAGTCAGAAATGCAGCAAGCCAGAAAAGCCAAAGGCCCAGAAATTAAAATTCAAGGTTTGTATCAAAAGCTTACTAAAAACTGTTGGTTGAGTCTGAATCTACTAATTATTTGACCTGTGGTGAGTCATTTCACCTTCATAGGCTCAGGGTGGCTGATCCATTTGATTCCTAACACAGTATGTGATTCTAAGGTCAAAGCAAACAGGAATAGAGGTTGAGACATAATGCTTGTGGATTCTATAAGTTACTCTCTTGTTTCTGGGTTAGGCACTGTGACTGGTATGGGAACCCTTAGGCTGTAGGCACCAATCGCGCAATGAACATACTTGGCTGACAGTTAGGACAAGAACAGAACTAGAATTGTAAGGGATTCGTGCAGGGAACAATACCAGTGCAACGTAATCATAAATATGATAGTTAATGATTTGGATTTGGATAAAGTTTGGATTGTTTTGTCTTTGAAATTAACTGAGGTATATCAATGGATTACGAAATGTTAAGTCAACAGTATACTTAAGCTCATTCCATTGATGAGGCAAATGTGCAAACAGATTAAACTGACTTTTACAGAATGATTATTCCTTTATCTTTTTGTATGAGAAAGAATCCTTCATTTTAGTATATACATAAAATGCTAGTCTCTAGATTCATGACACTGTTTTTGTAACTTTTTTTTCAAACATGATATTTCACAGGATGGCTAACCTGTAAAAGAAACACTGAACATAACTTCAAGAATGCCAACAGCAAAAACACTTCAGCCATGGCACATACAACCTGAAGTCAATGACATTTCTTAATTATAGAAGCTAGTGATGCTTTCTGTTTACTATTAAAGCAAGACTCAATGTTCAAACTAGAAGCTGTCATTCAACAGAATAAATCAGGTCAGCAGAACCAACCACATAATGCTTCAACACATAGGAGGCTGTGTGCATATGAAGGAAAACAAGAACAAAGTAACAATCACACCTCATTTCCTTGGATATAATCTTGGTGGCAAGATTTCTAAATGATCATCCCTTTACTCAGTTTGGGTAAAGACTTCCAGCACAGAACACTGTTAAGAAGCAACTATTAGGAACTGTGTAAAACAGACCTAAGGCAAGCACTATACAAACACAAAACAGATAAACACAGTGTTTAGTTTCCTACAGCATTTATTACAGGTTATCATATTATGAAAACAAAATAAGATTATTCTTAATGTGTCAAGTTTGTTTAATAACTTAAATAAAAAGATATGATTCTTTAGGAGAATCACAAAAACAGATAATTCTAAACCTCCTTGAAAATTGAATTAATCAGGAAGTATCTATTTGGAGACTATGTACCTTCTACCGTATCAAACCAAAGATAAGGCTGCTGTCCTCACAGAATAGACAGACCGCTGGTAATCAACCATTAACGATCAACCATTAACACAGTGAATGTTCTAATATTTTGGGAAATATTGGAAAACTAACACAATTCTCTGGACATGGTTTATCGTGCCCTTCCAAGAGACTTGTAGATCCAAAAGAGATTAGTTTAGAAAAAGGATCTTGTTTAGTCCACAAAATCTTCAGAGTTAATCAAGTTCTGGGCTAATCAGAGACTAAAGAATCTTTATAAGGAGAAACAGGCTTGGGAATCAAGTAGTCTTATTTTGAATTAGTTTGCTTTAGTCAATGGCATGGAATTAATGATTAAGTGTCAGTAAGGAATTTCTGTAATGCAGCCCAATTCCAAATGAGCACTAACATTCTATTTTCTATGTGATGACTCCTGATTAGAGGCAGAAGGCACAAATACTGCCAGCTATGCAATAAATTGTATTCTACTGCTCATGATCTCTAAATATAGATCTTGTTTTTTAATGTAAGAAGCTCACTGAATCAAATGAATCTCACTTAAAGCAAGGAGAGTTAAGTAAAACTGGGGTAGGAAACTTCTAAATTATGTTGTAAACATATGACAGAATTAATCATTATAAGACAAGAATCATTTTCCCAGTAGCCCCACTGCTATGAATGATATTTTCATGAGCCTGGGCCACCTTCTCCAGTGGATACTGAGAACCGATGACAGGTCTCATCCAACCAATTTCCATTCCAGCTTGAAGGGCTGTGGCAAATTGCTGAAATTCCTCCTAAGTGAAAAAACAAAAAAATATTTTTTTGGTACAGGAACAAATGACTTAATTTTCAGAAATAAACACTTTCAGAATCTAAGACAGCACAAGGTTTCTTACAAATGTGTGGCTTCTGTCAGCCTGTCCAGACCTATGGAAAAAGTAGTTCTCTGAGGGCTGGCTATTAAGGCCATTTTGTCTGAGACAGTCTCAGTTCACAATATACCAATTATCCTGAAGTAATTACTAATAGCATCTTCGTTTCTCTCAGAGGTGCCCTGACTTGAAAAATAAATTATATTATTGACCTAGTTATTTGTTATCTTCTAGTGACTAATACTTAATCTACTCATCTAGTCAAATAACTGAGTTTAACATCTACTTAAACGTTCAGTTTCTGCCTGACTAGGCAAACTGTGTCAATGTTTAAATTACCAAATCAGAATCATTCCTTTTCCTACCTTTGTTGATGAATAGAGAGCAACTCCAATTATACTAGATTCTTTAGCTATGGTGTCCCGTGGGTTTATTTCAATATGACCTCTGCTGCCAACAACCTGTTAAAAAAATGTGTCTATAGTTAGAGATTACTGTAAAAAAGTGTTAAGATTATGGTAAAAATTCAAAGTAGTAAAAAAAATGAAATACTTACTATTACTCGTCCTCCATATGACAGTAGATTCAAATCATTACTAAGATTTACATTAGCTAACATTTCAATAATCACATCCATTCCTTTTTCACCAACAAATTTCTATGTAATATAAAGGAAGGCAGAGTAAGATAACAAGTAAAAAAACCTGCAAAATAGTTATCATAGTCCCATATGCTACAGAAATAGAAATAGTTTTAAAAGTATTTTTAAGACAAATACAAATTTTAAATGATCCAATTTTATAGTGATGATGTAATTCCAAGGTGCCCAACACAATACCTAAAATGATGAATATGTGTACTAAATAAACTGCTACAATGCAATAAAATATGTCTAAAACTTTCAGGCACAATTTAAATATGCTTTTTCCATGTTGAAAACTTTTTTTCTTCATAATGTATTCTCATAGAGAAACTACAAATTGAAAAATCCAAAACCCCAACAAGGCTCCCATTTTTATTAAAAAAAATAAAGAAAAAAAATCCTTGGCTGTTTGCTGATCCAGGATATTTTTGTGTGCATTCAGTTTTGCTATAAGTGGTTTACGACCAGCTTGGCATACCACTTTTTTTTCTTTTGGGCTCTCAGATGGTTCCCAACATCTAAAACTGGCTCTTAAATAAGCTGTATGTGTCTACCTCATATTCATTTAATTTTAGCAAAAAAATAAAACCTGTGTCAGACACTCTGCTAGGTACTGGGAATGCAAATTTGGACATAGAGAACTCAAAATAAAGCTAAGGGGAAAGATGTAAACTACTACAGTCGTGTAGCTGTAATGTAATGTAAGGGTAAGGACTGCATTAGCAGAAATCTGTCATAGGTTATAGAGAAAAAATGTTACAAGGTCAGAGCAAGTCCCACAGAGATGATGACCTGGACCCTGAGGGGTGAACAGGAGTTCCTTAAGCAAAAAGGAGGGAAGGGAAGCAAGTGGAAACTAGACGTGAGGAAGAATCAGTCAGGACAGAAGGAACAGAAAAGCAAAGATGTAGCGGCTAAGGGTCCTAGTCAGAGTCAGCCCAGCAGAGCGGGAGTGTGTGTCTGGGAAGTAGGTGGGTGGGGATGAGGAAGAGGTAGGACAGGAGACTGTGAATGGTACAGATTATGAAAATACATCAAATGCCAGGTCAAAGGATTGGGATGTTCTTGGCACAGGTGTTCACTAATTCCTTTTAAGGCACTCTTTTGTTATATGTCTGGGAAACCTAAAATTAATTGAGTATCCACTCCAGAAACCATTACCCAAGAGTATTCACAAAGATGAAAAGTGGCCAGTTACTTTAAGAAGATACCTGTGTTTGGCAGGACTTTAAATATAAGACCGCGACGTTTTGCAGCTTCCATCTTTTCTACTGCTTCCTGCTGCTTAAGTCTCTCTCATCCTCCAAATCACTCTCTTAACCTATTATCTCCCCCATTCCCCACTCACCTCTCCTTTTCCACCAAACTTCTTGAAAAACTAGTGGGTACTTAACTCCTTTTACTGCCGTACCTACCATCGCGTCCCATGGCATCGGCCTCCACCCCAGCTACTCACACTGCTGGTAGCGGACAGGATCCTAATTACCAGTCCGCTGCTCTTGCCTCAGGCCTCACCCTCTTTTTCAGCAATAACTGACCCTGACCACATCCCCCAGAAACCAGTTCTCTTCTTAGTTTTCTGACTTCCTTTTCGCCCCCTTCCTCTTCATATCACTTCACTGCAGGTGTTCTCAGGTTGGCGTCTCATCTCTAGACCCTCGTGCTGCTCGATCTCGGACACACTGTGGCTTCAGTCAGCACCCATATGCTGGTATGTCCAGCACCGCCTCTGACCTGAGCTCCATTCCCCCGAGCCGGCAGCCCGCTGGGCACTGCCGCTCATCTGATCACCCAGGACAGAAACCCACATTTCATCTCTTACTCCCATCGTTCAATCAGCACCCTTCCTCTTACCCATCAAGCTGGCTGCCTCATTCTATCAGTTTCACCTCTGACATGCCTTTCAAATACATCTCTTTATCTCTATTCTTTTCACCAGTGTGACCTTAAAAAAAAATATTTCCAGAAACAACTAAAATGGGAGCTCCATAAGGATAGGAATTTTTGTCTCTTATTCCTTGCTGTACCATCAGTGTCTACAACAGTACGTGGCCCAAAAATTTTACTCTATTTTTTAGCAAGATGATTTAGTGGTGATAAACTCTCACTCATATTTTTCTTAGTTTGTCGTGACCTGGGTTACATGGTAATCCGTACCTGGAAAATTCTAATTCTTTCTCAACATAAGCAAGTAGTTTGAGGACTAGCAAAGTAATCAGTGCTTAATAAACTGCTACTGTCATACAAATGGAGAGCTTCAGGACCTGCTGGAATTCTGTTGTTGCAATGGAATATATGCAGCAGTGAACTAAGGGCCACCTCACTGCTTGGGATGACATAGTAGTTATTCCTCCAAAGCATCCAGTTAGCAAATGAACTTTATTCTCTAGGCTAGACTGATCCAGTTGATAATCTCTGAATACGTGACCTTCCATGAAAAATTTACATCAATAAAAATTATGTTATTGCCAGAAGCAGCGGTGTGATGTAAAATGGATAAAGTGCTGTCAAAAGGTATAAACTTGCAGTTATAAAATAAAGAAGTCATGGATGTAATATACAGTACAGTGACCACAGTCAATAATACTGAATTGCATATTTGAAAGCTGCTAAGTGAGTAGGTCCTACACTCTTATTATAAGTTTCTTGAAAAAAAAAAAAAAAAAAAAAAAGGAACACCTCACAGCTCCAAATACAAAACTATGGTTTTACCTAAAATGTGACTTAGATTAAAGAGTACCAGTTTTTATAGAACTCTAGAAAGGCCGTATTTTTTTTGATAAACATAAAGGAGACAGAAGTGAGAGTGAAAGTTGGAAAATTAGACATCTCTGCTTTTTAACTTAATTAAAACTTTAAAACACACATAGGCATATAAAAAAAAGCAAATAACTTTGAGAGAGTGGTTGATAAAAGAACTTATGAAAAAAAAGTGTCTTCCAAGAAACAAAATTTTACTTTTATAAAATTATGAACAATTTTACCTTAATTTTATCAATATAGTTAGCTTCTCTGTGATTAAACACTTCATGCGCTCCATTTTGTAAAACAATGTTTCGCCCTTCCTCAGTACCAGCTGTACCCAAAACCTTTAAGCCATAAGCCCTAGCGATTTGGCATGCTGCTAGCCCAACCTGAAAAACAAAATATAAGCCAGTATTGTAGGTTCTTTGTATCCCTGCAAACATTTATTAAATACAGACAATGAATTTAAGGTTCTTCCAGATATTTTGAGTCTACATGAAGACCTAAGAACAACAGCTAATTTTTTTAAGTATTTACAATGTGCCAGGTACCACACTAACTGCTTTACCTGCATTGCTTCATTTCATCCCCACAATAAGCCTGTTAGGTAGATATTGTAATTGTCCATGTTCTATAAATGAGAAAACTGAAGCTTTTAAATATAAGTAATTTGCACAGGTTACAGATATGCAAACAGGACTAAATTACAGAGTGAATGAAATCAGACTTTAGAGCCTGAGCTTTTCACTACTACATCAAAATGGTTACTTAGCATTTGCTTTGTGCAGAAGGTACCAGGTTTAAAGATGATCAAAATATGCTCACTGACTTTATATATGCAGTTTAACTGTACATATAAAATGCTATATAACAAATGCAAGGCCTTTACCATTTAAGTAGGAGAGACCGGTACATTAATTTATTACAAATTAATTTATTCACTCATATGGTGAACACTTATTGATTTTTTACTATGTGCTAGACATCACACTTCACACATGAAACTTATATTCTAAAGAAGGGGAAAGATAATAAACAAATGAACAAATAAATGAGTAAAGTAAATTCAGAAAATGAAAAGTACAATGAAAAAAATAAGCCTACCAGATTATAAAGAGATAGGAAGAGGGGTTTGTTAGATCATCAGGAAAGGCATCTCTGAGGAGATGAGACCTGACTGAACTAAGGGACAAGCACTAGCCAAGGATGCTGTAGGCAGAATGGCCACGGCTAAGCTAGTGGAGTGGAAAGGAGGGTGGGTACTCAAAGGTCAGAAAGAGGGTCAGTGTGGCTGAGGGCGGGGCACACGGGAGGGAGTGGATGATAAGGCCAGAGGAGCACAGAGAGGCTGGGGTACATGGGTCTTAAAGATTAAGGCTTTAGATTTTATTTAAGAGCTTTGCAGAATAATTATAGAGCTGAAGCAGGAGCATGATATGACCCAATTTAGGCTTTAAAAGAAACACTACAATTATATGAGGCAAAAAGAAGGTGGAGCTGGGAATGGGAGCAGGAAGATGGAACCTTCCTCACAGATTAAATGTGGGGGATGAGGAAGGGTGAAAACCCCAGGATGACGGCTAGGTCTCCAGCCAGATAAACTGGGTAGATTACAGGGCATGAGGAAGACTGCAGAGGACCAAGTGTGTGAGAGCATGAAGAATTCACTTTGAACTTGCTGAGCTAAACACTGCTCACCTGACTGAAGACATTCAGTCATCAGCTGAATATGGATAAAGACCCCAAGAAATTCAGAGTTGGAAATATTTATTTGAAATTCATCAGTTAAGGAATGTTATTTAAAGCCATGGATCAGACAAAAATCATTAGATCACCAGATAAATGTATTTAGTATAAAGGAGAAATAAAAGTAGTTTAGGAATATAGATAAAGTACTTATTTAAATTGTGATACTAGGAAATAAATGTTTGATGTTGTGCCTAATGGATGATGCAGATAAGGTATCACATACATTTAGAGCAGGGTTTCTCAAACTTGGCACTACTGACATTTTGAGCTGGCTAATTCTCTGTCGTGGCAGCTATCCTGTGCCTGTCTTGTGATGGATGTTTAACAGCATGTCTAGTACCTACCCACTAGATGCCAGAACCCCTCTACCCAGTTCTGACAATTAATAATGTCCCCAGACATTACCACATGTTCCTGAAGGGGAGAAGGGAAGCTGTAGAATCACCCTTTATTGATAAGCAGTGACTTAGAGGAAGGTAAAATCATTGTGGATTGGGCATGATGGAAAAGAATTAAAATAAAAAGATGACAGAAACTAAAATTTAACAGAATCACAGACTCCCAGGCCTGAAGTAGACCTTTAAGATTACATGGCATATGGAAATGATGAGCCTGAACTCACTGGGTTATGGCTGAGATTTAGGTGACTTACTAAACAGGCACATGAAATGAACTCACTGTCTGATGACTGAGGGAAACATTCAATTCCATGAAATATGATACACTATGGGTTTGACAGGTCTGGTTTTTGCTACTTTAACTTCCAATTAAAAGAAGAGAAACAACCAAGCCTCTAATAAAACCACATCTAAACTAAAGATTTAGTGTGAATATACCTCCTTATACTCTATTTTAAAGGACACTCAGTATCTTTTAAATGTGCTGTTTATTCTATTCTTGTCAATAGTTATACTAGCTACAGTTCTTCAATAGATTATATACCATCTTGTGTCAACTATTTTTCTTCTATTTATTTTGTTAACAATAAAATAGAGCACTCCCCACTGACATATCTGGATAATAGCTGTGTTCAAATATTCCACACCATTTAAAATACACAACCTAATCCCAAAAGAATTTGAATTAAATGAGAACAGAAAGTACAAACAGAAGCCAGACAAACCCAGCACTATTTTGCTCTGATGGGGCAGAAGGATCAGAAGCATTCACACACCAGCTCACCAGCCTATCCCTTCCAGGGCAGATTTAACAAACTCAGCCAGCTCAGAGAACAGCGTGGATTTTGCCTTAAAAAAAAGTCATGGTGAAGTGACCAGGCTTTTTACAAGAGGGTAAAGGGAATAAAAAAAGATTTTCTTTAAACTCTTCTCTCCTCTTCCCACTGAAATATCTCCCTTTTACTCAGATCACAAGGTTAGCTCTCTGCAAGCCAAAGCAATTTAAATAAATGCATGTTTGACAGACCCTTTAGTTATTTTGGGTTAAATTTAATTTAATCCAAAAACAGCCTCCTTGGTAAAGCTCAACAATGGGACTTTTTGATAAGGTTTATCTGTCACATTTTCTCAAGCCCCATAAAGACAATCTTGATTTTTTTTAGTAAATAGTCTGATCTGTGAAATCCTTCAAAATTGATCTATTTAAGGTACACAGGAAGCTGAGTGTGAAGCCTTGCGATTCAGCTATCTAAAGTACAGAGACGCATGGACTGAATTCTGTTCATATTATCCGATCACCTTCAGAAGTAAATTCACATTTTCAGGATGCCACTCATTATTCTGGAGATGATGTGCCACTTTAATAGACACATTACTTCTCTCAGTCTCCTCTCCAGAACAGATGGTGCTATGAAAGGGTTAACCAGCTTCCTCAAGGTAAGCCATCTAGCCCCAGGCCCTTTTTAAAAAAAAAATTCAAAATCTCTGTCTCCAAAACTTCTAAAGCCTCTACATGCAGGAGAGAGGTCATGTGGATTTCTTGTTAAATTCCAACCTCAGAGCTCTAACTTTTCCTCTAAGCTCCTCAGAGGCAGACTGAGTCAGTTTCCTGAAGAAGGTTCTGACAGTCCTATGTTGGGTGATTTCACTGAAGGGCTTATTTTATAAGTTCTGAGTCCTCCCCCCTTCCGCTCTGTATTAGCATTTTAAGCTGAGGGTTGTGCTGCTAAGGACACAGCTGTATACTGTGCACTCCATGAATGTCATCAAAGCACAGCAGGCAACAGTGGAAGGGAGACAGAAGGGACGGAGGATTCAGCGATGTCTGGGGCAACCCAGGTAAAGCTTTAATGAGCCTTAGTTTCCTTATCTAAGGGAATGTGGAATTTGTATTAACCTTAAAAAATATTTAAAATTATAAATAAACTCTTATAACATACACTACTTGAAGGTAAAAATAAAGCCAGTTTATCTTGGTCCACACCCAACACAGGTGGAAAAGCTAATACATGCATTTTTGATGACATAATCTATTGAATTTATTAACTAAGAAGTGCTAAACTAAGGACAAGGGATCCCCAGAAGGCAGAATTTAAAGAAACTTCACTACATAAAGGAGTATATTTATTGCCTTTATTTATAAATTTGGCTTTAAAAAGTGACTCAAAAGAAATATAAAGTGAAACCCACAAAATAAGCTCATTTAAAAAAAGAAACAAAACATACTTACTCCTCCACTAGCCCCGTGAACCAGAACACTTTCTCCAGCTTTCACACGGGCGCTGCAAAAGAAAGCACGGGTTCATCGCCACATTTTGAAGATGATGAAGCTCAGGTGTTTGTTGTAATTCTTAAAGAAATTGTACCCTCAGTTCAACTGACACTTGCCCAGAGAGGAAACTCATTCTGATATACAGCTCCCGGAGCTCCACAGGATCAAAGGTTCTTCAGAGCCAGAGATACATGAAAACCTTCAATTCATTTATTCACTCCACAGATGTTTATTGGGAGTCTATTATGAGCTACCTTTTGAGAGGCTGCAGTCCTTGTGCATGTTAAGTGAAACTGCTGAGCCTAGAGGAACTGGGGTCTCTCATTCATTCCCACAGAAAGTATCTCAAAATAGGCTTGTTATAGCCCAATCTAAATTCTGTGGTCCAAAGTAATGCTCAAGCAAAGCCAGAAGCTGGACTACTTAAGAAAACATCTTTCCTTCTCCATGACTTTGAACATCAGCTTGCACAGCCTCTAAGCCCTCATTTCAGAAAGTAATGCTGAGTCAGCAATGGTAAGAGAGTAAGAACTATAATAAATCCTGTAACAAAGGTTCCCATGTCACCTCCTAAAACGTCCAGATCTCCTGGTGAAAAGATGGCATCTTTTTACTTTCGGTTCATACTATGTTGTGGGGAAGTTGGGGTTCCTATGGCCAGGATCCTCACTGAATTTAAACCACCTGATGATGTAACTGGCCTGTTGCTAGGCTAACACTTCCACACCTTTAGGCAATAAGCTATTATTGCCCTAAATAGAGAGCTTGGCCCAGTGCTCTGGGAAGAGGCAGAGATGCTAGTGCCCGACATACCACCAGGAGAACAAGCCGGGTAATAAACCCTTTCACTCCAGAGAACGTTTGCTGTCATTTTCTTTGGTCACACTGAATCAATAGCAAACTTGCCCGAGGCTGAAACCCATTGGCAAGACATATGCCTTTTTTTTAATACTAAAAACAAGGCATGTAAAGCAAGACAGACAGGGGATGCTTCACTATCCCAGATGGACAGGTGCTGAGTCACTAGCCAGCAGCTGTCATGTGTTTGACATCTGACTCTCAGGGAGGATCTCTTACTTCCTAGAACAATAGAGGGGGTGGGGGGCAGCCCACACTGTACAGACATTCTGTTCAGTCTAGGCCTGAGAACATAGTAACCCAGAGTCCTGATCCAGGCTGTGTGCCAACAGCTGACAAATGGCAATTATGAGCAGTAAATGAAGCTTTCTCCAGCACGCTTGCTTAGAGATATGGGGACTGAAGGCAGTGAGTTAAACTGAGGGTTTGAACTGATAAAATGAGATAACTATTACCAAAACACTTTGACACTTTAAAAGTAAAATATAAATGTAAGGGAACAGGATTACTAATGTTATACTATGGGACATGTAATACTTCCCAATGAATTTTTTCACAAAAAAACCCTCGCTCTCTAAGAGCACATGGTCCTAAATCCATGGGCCCTGAGGTAAGTGGAGAAAAAGCAAGGCTAACCCTCTCCAGGACCCCCACTGCTACGATCCTTCTGTCCTGTGCAGAGTCACCATGATGGCTAATTTTATGTGTCAATTTGGCTGGATCATGGTGCCAGATTTCTGGCCAAAGATTATTCTGGATGTTTCTGTGAAGGTGTTTTTTGGATAACATTAATGTTTAAATCAGTAGACTTTGAGTAAAGCACAATACCTTCCATAATGTGGATGAGCCTCATCTAAACAGGGGAATGTCTCAAGAGAACAAAGACATCTCCTAGAGCAAGAAGGCATTCTGCCAGCAGATTGCCTTTCGACTTGAACTACAACTCTTCCCTGGGTCTCTAGCCTGCCAGTCAGATTTCAGACTCACCAACACCCCACAAATCAATCTCTCCTCTCCCACTCAGTCTATCTACATACACACACATGCTGTTGGTCTGTTTCTCTGAAGAACCCTGACTAATAAGTCATTTCTCCCTGGGGCTCACGGTAGGGGGGCGAGTTTTGGGCCTGGCCTTCCACAGTGCTATTCCCTACTTCCTTCCAGTCACTGAAGACTAGTATCTGGGACATACGCTTTCTCTTCACTCCAAATCCAGCCTCAATCTAGGGGATTTCAACCATGAAGGAAACCTCACATCACAATTCCTGAATTCTCTTTCACTTTATCCACTCTCTCCCAGGACTAAAGCTGGTAGCCACTCCTAACCATCTACCTGAGAAACAGCAGACAGTAATAACCAATACTATGACAGTAATCTCCTACCCTGACTCTGGAAGCCTAAATTCTCTCAAAATATTTTCTGCAACTTCACAGAGATCACTGCCTGTCTGTTGCTCTATATCTGCCTACCTGCTGCTCCAGCCTCACGTTCTTCCCTGAGCAGCACGGATCCCATGGCAGATCACCCCAACTGCTCTCTTTCTCTCCACTGCTCTCATTTCCTTTGCACTATTCCATTTTGTCACTAATATGCCAGTCCTGCTTTAATTTAAAATCTAACTTCCTTGGTAATTTATCCAAATGGCTAAATACTATAGAAAACAAATCACAGGATCATGCATTTTGGTGCCACTTCAATTCTGTTTCTCAAAAGATCGCTTTGCCTCCTGTTTCACTGGGAAAACTAAAGCACTCCCATGAGTTCCTTCAATACCCCACCTCCCTACACACACCTTTTCCTAATTATACCATCGTTACGTCTTCTAGATTTAGGAGATGAGCTATCCTTTTTGGTATTTGAAGCCAGACTCTATGTATGTACTAAGTCCTTTCCATCTTGCCTTATGCAGGATTTTCTTGCATCTGCCACTCGGCCTTTTCTTCCAAATCTTCTATTTCTCCGTCTGCTGGACCGTTTCTCAGCTATAAACATGTTCATGTCTTGTCCACTCAAAACACCTTTTTTTCCCATACTTTCCTTGAGTACTCCTCTGTTCCTGCTTTCCATCTCCCCCAGTTTTTAAAGGAGTAGTCTCCATTCAAGCAATGGATTTCTTCCCTTCCTCAACCCACTAGATAAAGCTTCTGTCCCATCACTCAACAGAAGATGATCTGATCACAATCACTAATAACCTCCTAATTGCTAAGCCCAACTCTTATTTTTTCTAAACATTCCTCACAGCTGCATTGGACAGCTAGCCTCCCTCCTTAGTACCAACATCAACACACCCCTCACAATGTCACCAGATCGAGCACTTACTCTGTGCCGGGCTCTGCACCAAGAACTTTGCGTGCATTATCTTGTTTTGCTCTCGCCACACCCCTGTGAGGTAGGTGCTATTACTGCCCATATTTTTCAAGTCAGTAAACTACAGCTGAGGCAGGAAAGTAACTTAACTCTGGTCATGTGGGTGGTAGTAAGTGAAGACGGTACTGTAACCCAGGTTTTCCTGTCTTCAAAGCCCATGAGCTTAACACATGTTGAACATACACCATGACCTCTAGACTTGCCTGGCCTTCGGATACACTCGTTTGGTTCTCTTAGGACTCTGTCCCCTACCTCTGACGACACTCTTACATGTCCATGTTCATGAAGGCCCTCTCGCTCCACTGCTCCCCTCACTCTGAGGGACTTTAATCTCTTCCATCCTGCCAACTACCTCCCAAATGCTGTTATCCCCAAATTTATCTCTAGCCTTCAAGTTTCAGACTCTTTCAACCAACAGGCTGCCAGATGTCTACACTATGAGGTCTTAGTTCCAAGTCCAAAACTGAACTCAGCCTCTCTTTGAAGCCTTCTCCTCCTTTTATTTGTCAGTTAAACATTATCCAAGCTAGAACGCTAGAAGTATTAAGCTCTTCCTCTCCCTTGTTTTCCACATGCAAACTGTCACCAAATATCCCTGATTTTACCCACTAGACAGTTGTCCTTTCTCCTCCACCTTTTCTACCCTGACCCTTGTTGTGGCCCGTAAGTGTTTTACCTGGAGGATACTCCCATAAGGCCTCCCATCCCTTTCTCCACTCCTGTCACCCGATCCATCCTTTACATAGAAGACAGGTAACCTCAATAAAACACAAATATGAAAATATTGCTCTTCTGAATAAAATACTTCATGACCCCCAGTCCCTTACAGAACAATGTGTGAGCTCTATAATCTAGCTTTCTGCAATCTGAAACCTGCCTATTCGATGATGACAGCTAACATTTATTGGGAGATTCTATGCTCCATCCTTATTGTTTGCCACTCTTTGCCTTAAAATCTTCTACCCAGCAAAACCAAATTGCTTTGGCCCTCCCCAGATGCCATGATGTTTCCCCCACACATCAGGCTATTGCCATTGCTTAGAATTTCCCCTCCCCTCCCAGCTACCTGTGCCTAGGATAATTAGCTCTGATTTTTTTCAAATGCCTAGGGAACATAATTAAAGTATAGGTTCTCAGGTCCCAGCCACAGACACTGACCAGTGGGTCTAGGGAAGGGCCTTATACTGTACTTCTAAATTGCAGCAATTCATTTCTATGGCTGGATTCATTTAATAAGATAATGGATATAAAAAAATCTAAATCTTACATCATGCTACAAAGTCCTACCTCATCATCCCAGGCACATCCCTTGTGATCCCATAAAACCCACACACACCTCTACCACTGTACTTCCCACATAATATATCAATATCATTACTGTTATGTCTATCTCCCCTACTAGACTGTGAACATCTTGAAGACAAAGTCAGTGTTTTGGTCTTCCTTGTATACCTAGCGATTAGAACAGTCTTCCAAATTAGCACACTTTCTACTCCATAAGTGCCCAATGGTAACTAAATGGTAACCATAACGGATAGCCAGAAGGATGGAGGGAAGGCAATGAATAGTACCCTCCCTGGTGTTGACTATATAATTGACAGAGTGTTATTACCTGTGGAGCAGAGCTCGATAAGCGGTAAAATATGGGATACCGATGGCAGCTCCTTGTTGGAAGTCCAGTTTTTCTGGCAGTGGGTAAACGGTGTGATCTGCTGCAAGCGCATACTCTGCATAGCCCCCAGAGACTGTGCTGGTAGTGAAAACTCTGTCACCTTTCTAGGGAAGCAATAAATTAATAAATGCATCAGAGATTAAAAATGATACCCAAATGGCTACACTCTTTTATAATGTAACCTTTATAATAAGATATGTGTTTATATATTGTTTTCAACATCTTAGGGTCTCACAAAATAACTTCATAATACCGAATATTTTTAAGTGTTTTATTCATGGGGACCAGTAAGAAAAATTAAGGGAAAAGCAAAAATAAGGGGAAAGAGAACCTCCAGAACGATACAAAGATGACAATTGACCTTGGTTGAGAGCTTACTGGGCTACCACTGCATTTCTAAGAGGCATTGTATCTGATCTTCACAACAGCCCACAGGGTAAGTACTTTCATTAGCTCCACTTTAGATCAATGCCACAATACACAAGAGAAAGTTGAGGCACTAAGTTCAGTAATTTTCTCAGACCAAACAGTGGGAAAATGGCAGTTAATACAAACCATTTTCCATCCAAAATACTATGAGGAAGAAAGAAATAAAGTATTAAGATTTCTTCCATACACCAAACATCTGCTCTAAATCTCTTCCATGGATTTCTTACAATTCCCTAATTTTCCATGCATAAACCAAAGATCAGGTAACTGTGCCTGGATCCTGAGAGCAAGATGAGCCAGGACAGGCTTCTTCACTTATACACCACCAGAAACACAGTAAACTCCCTAGATGTCTGCTGGGCCATTGCTATTGAAAAGCAGGTGCATAACTGCAGGTGACATAAGGCATGATGCAAGCATTACAGGCTTGCCCAATATGACCTGCACACCAGGGAGATTAGACTACCTGTACAAACACCTGCCCTAACTCCTCTTTATAGGAAAAAAAAGTAAATATTCATTGGAATAAGCAAAATATTAAGACAATAACTCTCAGCATATCTAAATCTGTCTTAGAGCTTTAAAAAAGTAACAGCACTATGTGGGGGGTAGAGACAAAAACGGTTCAAAGCTATCTAGGAGTCAAAGACAAGCATTGCTATTTAATAGTGTCACCTGTAGATGGTCAACTATGACTGTGTTAATATTAATCCTGTTTTTACAGCTTAAAAACTTGTATTGATTTCAGGGTCATTCAAACATCCAGTACAGGAAGTAGTACTTTAAGTTCTATGATGGATATAAACAGCAAGACATTCTCCCTAATCTCAAGCATCTTAAACTCTAAGGAGAAAGAGAAGAAAAAGATAGAAATAAAAAAGCAAAGCAAATGATGACACACCATCAAAGATAAAAAGAAAGGAATTATTTCTAACTTGAATGAGATGAGTGTAATTACTCAAGAATAGCTTTATTGAGAAGATAATTTTGAGGTAGATCTTGGGAAAACTAGAACTAGGAAGATTCATTATGGGTGAAGGAAACAAAATACATTAAGGAATAGTTGCAGGAACAAATACTGAGAAATCACCAGCGTTCACACCCAATGAAGAAGCAGTCTAATGCAAGGAATTTAATGGTTTCAGGAGATGAAATGAAAAGAAATTAAAACTGGAGTGTAAAATCCCTTGAACCTATGTTTTTAAGTTTCAGTTTAATTCTGCCAAGCAGAAGAACCAATATGAGCAAAGACAGAGAGATGAAAGAGCATGGGATATGTAGGAGAGAACAGTTATTAATAAAAAATAAACTACAGGGTGAGAAGGAATGGGGGATAAGAATGGAAGGATAGATGGGAAAGAAAGCATAAAATAGTCTTTCATAACATAAGCAATTTCAACAATACTCTAAAATCTACAAGGAATTAATGCAAGAATTAATTGCCAAACAATCAGAATTACATTTTCTAAAATACCTCTTATAGAGCAAGGAGAGATTTGAGGAGCAAGGAGAGAGGGTAGTAAATTAAATATCTGTTGTAGAAACCCAGGTAAGGGAGTAAAGAAGATAGTCTGAACTGGCAATGGGAATAGAAAGAGGAGAAGGAGAATAGTTCTAGTAGGGCAGAGCTGAGGGAGGGAGAGTGAAGAGTTAAGGCTCAAATCACAGAAGTCACCAAGACCATCAAGACAGAGGGACAGATCTGACATGAGAAAAGATAAGCTCAGTTTTAGACACACCAAGTAAGAGGTTCCTGGAGTCTTTGTGGATCCCCAGCTCTCCAACACATCGTTCTGTAATGATGTAAATAGTCTACATTTGCACGGTCCAATGGAGAAGCCACTAGACGCATGGGGTGATTAAGCATTTAAAATGTTGCTAGTGACCCAGGAACCGAATTTTTTAATTTAATTTGAATTTTAAAAAGCCAAATGTGGCTAGTGGCTACCGTATCAGACAGCACAGGTACCGAAGTTAGAAAATGCTAAGCTAAAGACATCACAGGTGATAATGGGAACTACGGGTGTGTATGAGATCATCAGGAAGAAGGTACAGGATACAAAAAGTGCAAGTTTGCAGAGGGACTGAGAGAGCTAGGCAGCACTGAGATTTGAAGAGCAACCAGAGAAAAAGAAACTTGCAAGGGCGCCCAGAGAGAAGGGGAGAGACCAGGAGACAAGGGATGTCACAGCAGCTTAAGGAAAAGTCTTTTTTTAAGAAAAAGTTAAGTGGCTGAGAGTGTCAGATGTTACAGAGAAGTCAAGAGAGATAATGGCATAGAGATAATGGGCCCATTAACTCCAGCAATACACAGGCCATTAGTGACATTATCAAGAAGTGTCTCAGTGAAGCACAGGGGCAGAAGCCAGACTGGCACAGGCTGAAGAATGGAACACTGCAGGGACTGGCCTCTCTTCCTGTGCAGGGGCCACATTAATCATCTCTGTCTCAGCCCAATTTTGGTAAATGTGCTGCCGAAGTTGAGCAGGTCAAGGAATTAGGAAAAAAGATGCTAGAACATGAATAGACAACGTTTTATATGTCTTTTGGCATATAAATAAACGCCTTGATCACAACATTTTCAGTGACTTAATCACCTTGGTCTGAGTCAGAGCCCAAAAAGTGTATCATTGACCTTGCATTGTTTTTGTCTTTTACTTATTATTCAGAAGAATTAGCTTCCCTTTATCCTATGAAGCTAAATTTACAGAAGGAAATTAATGAAGCTAAATTTACAGAGTTAGGAAGTAGTGTAATTTCCTTGCTGGTCTTCATCCCTTGTGTATTTCTGTTAGATCAAAGTGATCACAGTTCAAAATACAGAATTTACCCAGCACTTATTCCCAACAATGCAAACAAGGAAGACCTATGGATAAAAAGTAATTACTTTTTTGACCAGAGGAGTCCCCCAAGTGGCAGAAATTGTGTAATGGGGCCTTTTAAAGATGTAAATACAGACACATTTTAAAGTATGTTAAAATATTTTAAGAAAAAATATTAAGCCAAAATAGAAATAAATAAAAATATAATACCTTGAAAGCAGATACACTATCTCCAACAGCTTCTATTACCCCAGCCACATCTGTACCAGGAGTGTAGGGCAAAAGTGGTTTTCTGCTGTAAGTACCAGAGCGAATATATGTATCCACTGGGTTTACACCACAGGCATGGACTCTGATTAGGACCTGTAATGACATGAATTTTAGTTCACACAGAACACGCAGGCATTCATTCAGTGTGATGCTAGGGCTATACTGATTATGGGAGCTGTAAAAATAGAGGGAAAAACTTGTCTTCAAATGAGCTCACACTCCAGTTTTGCAGACCAACATATAAATAAAAGATATGACAGAATGGTTTATGTGTTATATTAAAAACATTTTGGAAACATGGTAGACATATTTGAGCAAATGCATGGCAAAGACCTGTATGTGCTCATCAAACCTATTCCCCCATCCTCCCTGGAAGAATATTATTTATTACTTGCTTCCTTCACAGTTATGTGTAGCCAAATGACTAAGTTCCAGCTAGTGGATGTGAACAAAAGTGACAAAAGCCACTTTCAGGGCTGGCCCATACACACCTTCCAAGGAAACCCACCCCCTTTCACAGCCACCTCAAGAGACAAGTGTTGAAGGGAACAGAGCCATGATATGGAAGAAGCCTGAGTCCCTACATTACTGTTAGAGGAAAGATACCCAACAACAGTTTAGAATTTTTGGAATTTAGTAAATTAGAAATACTTTTCTACTTGTTGAACCATCAAGATTTTGAGGTAACAGCTACTACAGAAGCTAATTTTACCATATTTAATAAAGAGTAATTACTTCTGCTGTAAGAGTAAGGGAAGGTCTTACAAAGGAACTGGTATTTAAGCTAGGTCTTAAAGGCTGAGTAGAAATTCTTTTGGAATGGAAACACAAATTAGTTCATGTAAAGGAATAGTATGTGCAAAGATGGAAGGAATGAAAGGGGAAACCCTTTCTTCTTGGGAAAGCCAGATAAAGCTTGATGCTGTTACAGCACAGTCTATTGCAGAGGAGTGATAAGAAATAAAGATATAAACATAGGTTATAGCCAAATTGTAAAAACTCTCATAAGGCTTGCTAAGGTAATTAGACTTAGGAACTGTGGAAGGTGCAGTAATAAAAATACATAATTTTTATTGAAAAAGTATATTGTAAAAGTCACCAGAAATGATTAAACTGTACATTAAATTCTCTTAAATCATATGTGAAAAAGCACATATGCAGAATAAAATGGTTTTCCTACTGTGCACAAAATAAAAATCATGAAATTTTGTAATAGAAACATTTGTTCAAAACTACTTATGACTCTACTCAGAAAAAATCCAATTACCGACTGCAGAGATGATTCTCAACATCAAAAATTTTCCTTTTGCAAGATATTATTTTCATATATCTGCTTTGTGAATTTACTATTATATTTGTCAGAGCTCATGTATATAAACTGTAAACTTTGTCCTAATTCAACGTCTTCACAAATCAGTGCAAGTCAGCTTCTTTTGAATATTAACTTGATATGCTAGAGACTCACACTCAGTGTTAGTTACTGCCTGTTTTTTAAGTTAATTATTTCCACCTGATGGTCTTTTGGAATTGGTACTGCAACATCTGCCTGGAGTTTCAGCACTTCTGGTCCACCAAATTCAAAAACTCTAATAGCTCTCATCAACTTCTGTCCAGTTGCCATGGTGATCTAGATACTAAGAAAAAAAAATGTATTGTCATATTGTATCTAGGCTATCACTATGTTTTTTCCCCTGGAGAAGGCAGATCAAACAATTTTTCAAGCAACAATTTAAATCATAAGCTTGCCACTGATCTCATTTCATGTTTAAGGACCTTTCATCTTAAAAATCCTTCAGCTACAAAGCAAAATACTTCATATTACTTCCTGTAAGGATTCAGTGCCTTCGACTAGGGAATCAAACATGCAAACAAAAACATCTGGAGAGACACAGCATGATACAATATCTTAGGGTTTCCTTTTGTGTAGGCTTGGGCTGCAACATCTTGGAAATTTTAGGAGCTAATATAAGTTTTATTAATATCAGATAAATAGACCTTTTTTTAATTACAAAATATTTCAAATATATAGAGAAATACAAATAATATAATAAACACATTTACCTGCCACCCAGCTTGAACAAATCTCAACATTTAAAAAACCTAAAACATTATACATATAACTGAAGCCTCCTGTACCCATCGCCAAGCCCATTTCCATTCCACTTTTTTAAGAGGTGACTATTACCATACACTTAGGGCTTATCATTCCCAGGCATGATGCTATACTACTATATGTAAATTCATTAGTAAGCAATATGTGCCTCTTTTTTGCATGTTTTCTAACTTTATTTAGATTTGATCATACTGTATTTAATTCTGCAACTTGCTTTTTCCTCTCAGCATTAAGTTTTTGAGATTTACCAACTTGAAACATTTGGTTTTATGAAGTCCATTCATTTCAACAAGAGAGAAAAAGCATTAAAAACTGAAAACACTGCTAACATATGCAATTTTTTGTAAATTACTAGAGTAATTTACAGTTAACCTTTCTGTCTTACCACTATTAATATTAAAATGAAAAGAAATCTCAAAGTTAAAATAAACTGAGAAAAGGTAATGAACAGTTGAATATAAAATTAGATAACTTTGGAAATCTGCACCTATAGAGAAATGTAATGAAAGAATTTTGATTGTATCTCCATAATTTTTATCATGATTTCTCAAAATTAACCACATCAAGTATTGTTAGACTTTACCACCACCTAGAACATCTTTCCTATTAATCAGCAGCTGAAACATCAGAAAGAGTTACAGAAACTAGAACTTGGGATGAAAGAATTCAGGCTTTTACTATAGTGTACTTAAAACTCAATGCTGGACTGCTCAGACTATAGCCCATGTTAACTACGGAAAATCATTCCATGTATGGGATTGGGAAAAAAAGCATTCTGATGGTGTTACTTGTGGGTAAAATTGTAACATTTCCAGAATATCTCACCTGGCTTTAGTATATCTGCATATCAATAGGCATTCAGAGGTGGAAAGAAATATGGTTTTAGTGCATTTGCATCTTTCCTCAGGGGTGGAGAAGTTTATCTCCATATCAATGGGTGATTACCTGGGCAACAGAGGGCTTATCTGTACCTGAGAGGTGAAGGGGAGGACCGGTGTTGCTGCTGCTTGAGCAGAGAAAGACAGACTGAGACTGCAGTTTGTTTGCAATGAACGGGTTTTAAACTTTATTTCTCCCTTGGACTGATTTTGGTTTTTAGAGTTATTTTGCCCGGGATTTCCTTTCCCCGGACTGACAATTGGCGTAGTATTAGCAGGATTCCTGTGAACCTGAAATCTGTCATAATGGGTGCGACCTCTGGGAGGGCCGCCCCTAGAAATGATGGGGAAAAGTGGCACTCGTGCCGAAGGACATGTGTCTACACTCGTGTCGTCGTGGAGGTGCCACCACTGATGCTGGCTATGTCAACCCCAGCCCATGGCCCGAGCCTAAGGCTACTGCTTCTGCCACTGCTGCTGCTCTTGCTGCTGGCTGGAGCCTGGACATAACCATGGTAAGGAGCAGAGGTCCGGGTCACCTTGATAGAGAAGCAACTGGCTGCTGTGTACCACGCCTTGCTGGCTACAGAGCCCATTGCCAGAACAGCTCTGACCAAGGTAATAACCTCCTATCCCATCACGGGGTGGGTGCGAGACGACCCAAAGGCCACGGAGTGGCGTGGCACAGACACCTCAGAAGACAATGTGGGCCCATCACCGGGGTTTGCCTTTTACCTTTGAAGAAGTCAGCCGAGCCCGGAAGGAGTGCCCTGCACATTGTGCAGATCAGCAAACCACCAAGAGTGGCCTAAAGCATCTCTCTGCAGCCTATGGTCGGTCACCGGTTACTGAGAGCGATTGAGGTACCCACTTTTTTGGACATGTGTTGAAGGATGGGTGCAGCAATTAGGAGTAAAATGGACGTGGCCCTGGACATTTCAACACATGGACCAACGATAACTGGCTCTCTTGGCACCTTGGGGAAAAGGCCTGCAACCTGGCCTTCTGTGTATTCCTGTGACAACAGCAAATTGGCCCCTACGGTCTTTGTGTCCTGGATGCGCCCCCTGACTGCAGCTGCCGCGTGATGGCTGGAATGGATGAGCTTTGGACTTAATCTGCATGGGATTTTGAACCTAGCTGAATCCTCTGGCTTGAGAATTATGATTGTGTTGCTGTTGTCAAGAAAATAATTAAAGAGAGGCTTGACTTTGTTCTAATGTTTGGTAAAAGTTTTGTGAGCAATCTAGCATGATTGTTAAGAATGAGTACACAAGTGTAGAAATGTATTTTGTGCTTAGTGAGAGATTGTGCTGTAAAGTAATTTGCTTAATCTGCATAGGCTGAATCCTCTGGCTTGAGGATTATCAAGATTTTATTGCTGTTGCTATTGCATGTTACTAGATTCGTCGGAAAAGGGGAATCGAGGAAATTGTAAGGTGAGATTTCTGTAGGGGTGGATTGTGGGTAAAATTGTAACATTTCCAGAATATCTCTCCTGGCTTTAGTATATCTGCACATCAATAGGCATTCAGAGGTGGAAAGAAGTCTGGCTTTAGTACATTTGCATCTTTCCTCAGGGGTGAAGTTTATCTCCATATCAATGGGTGATTACCTGGGCAACGGAGGACTTATCTGTACCTGAGAGGTGAGGAGGAGGGCCAGTGTGGTTGCTGCTAGAGCAGGAGATGGGCCAGTCGGCAGTTTTTTAAGACCCTTTTACCCCAAAGAGCGTTTTGCGGTCAATTTCTTTGGTCACACTGAATCCATAGTGAACTTGCCCGGGCTGAAACCCATTAGCAAGACATACTGATAGGCGGAAAGACAGAATGAAGCCAGTAAAGCCTACTCAAAGGGACTCATAGAGTTAACCAGATAAAACCAGAGCCAGAAAAGACTCACAGAGTTAATGAATTAATTAGTTTTAATTAATTAGTGAAGTTTCAAAGGCCAGGAGTGACTTGGAATGCCCAAAGACCGCATGAGGAAGAGCAGGGAAATAGGGCTAGGGTCATGCCATTGTAAAATCTATTTAGCCTGCTAAAAGGCTCAGTTTATTCTTTAACAATCTATATGCTGTTGTGGGTAAAACTGCAGTATTTCCAGAATCTCTCACTCTTAATCAAGTAACTTTGTAACCAGGATAGGCCATAGACCTCTGACGTGTAAATAAACCTATGTGGACAGCGAGTGCTGAGATTTGAACCAACAGTCACCTAAATAACCCTACTCTTAGGACAAAACTTCAAAGGAATTATGAATCACCTATATGCATCATGCCTTATGCTGACCCTTATCCAAAAAGCCCTCCAAAACCCCAAACCCTAAACCCTTAAGCTCGCCTCCTCTCTGAGGTTGCCCACACTTTCCTTTCTTCAAGTGTGTCAATCTCTATGTTCTACTCCATATAGTAGGGAGGAACTATGAGAGATCTGATTTGGGCTTGCAAGTTCCCATTGCCTGGGTCACCCGGACAGGACTGCAGCTGTACGGTCATACTCCTTAGTAGCCTGCTTAAAAATCTCCTTTCTTTGCCTTTGGGAAGCTGTCAGAACATAATTACTCCATCCAGTGCCCTCCATCCAGGCTCCCCCAAATCCTGGGATAATAGGGACTTAAGTTTCCATGCCATTCAGATTCAAGCAGACACTGCACAACAGGTGACCCTGGCTTTAGGAGTTGGCAAGTAATTTGCCCTATGCTGAGCGGGAGTTCAATGAACTCCCTTCCCTGCCTTTGTCTACAGTGTCTCTGACCCACTTCTCCCTTGGTGTATTCAAATAAAACATTCATTCTGCTTTGCTACTGTGTTTCTGCCATTCAATTCTTTGTTGCAGAGGCAACAAGAACAGGAAAATAAACTAAACTCAACCCACAACATTATTAATGGAAAGTTCTTGATATAATTAATCAAAAGTATCATTTTAAAACCCTTTATTTAAAATGATTTAATACAATCCTTAGCACAGAGGGAAAGTAAATTTTCCATTGCTAAAAGGTTGTTTAGCAATGATATATCCTCAGAGGCCATACTCCAATAAATGGGGACAGAAACAGGCAGAAGGTGTAAACCTAACCTCACTGCGGAGAGCAGCTAAGTAGTCCCAGAGGGCGGGAGATAAGACCTGTGCAGAGACTGGGGATCAGAAAAGGCAGCTCACTCCATGCCCATCCTACATCACTGCTATATTTCTATTTGGGTCTGCACTCAAGCAGCGTATTTCTTGGACAAGAAAGTGAAAGTACAATTGAGACAGGGACCTTGGGTGTAGTCAAGTAGGGTGAAGGCCTCTGGAAAAAGCAAGGCAGGATATTTACAGTCAAAGCAATATAATAATGTAAAGAAGTTCCTATAGAAACTCTGTTAAGCATTATGAAAAGTCAAGGTCACACTAATTCTCTAGGGTAAAGATACCAGACTAGGAATATAGACATTTTCAGTGAGATCAGTTAAAGGTCAAAAGGCCAGGAGCAACTTGGTCTGGAATGTTTGAGTGTTCTGCAAGGGTATCTCAGCATAACCCATGACTTCATTGTAAAGAGCCCTAGTAAACAGACAACCCAGCGCACCTTGAGGGCAGGGCAGGTAGTACAAGTCCACACCCCTAAGCCTTGTTTCAAGTTCCCCAAAATCCTCAATTGCCTATAAATTCCCTAGACAAATGCACCACCCTGGGCTCTCTTGTCCTCTCCTGGCATGTACCAGGAGCTCTTTCCTCTCACTTTATTTCTAAACAAAAGCTTCTACCCTGGCTCTCCTACCTTGGGTGTTCACTAAGTTCATTCTTTGACTCCACATACAAGAACACCAGTGTCACGATGACAATAAAACGGAAAGAAAAGGTTGCCCAGATGGAAGTTTCCCATTGTCAAAATAACATAGATTCCGCCCCCCTCCCCTTTTTGTCTTACTATGGTGTTATGGAAAGTATGGGCTTTGGAATATGACAGCTGTCCGTAAGAATTCAGTTCTGTCATTTACTAGTCACATGGCCTTGGGCAAGGCAGTAAACTTTTCTGAGCCTCTTCATCTGAAAATGGTTACTATGGTGGAGACATGGCAAGCATCAAGCACAACACCTGGGAAATGTTTCCTCATCTACGGTAGATATCATTTCTTTCCCATCTATTTTCTCCTTTCCAATTTCTTATTCATTAAAACATTCTCAATTTTATAATTCTATAACCATTTTTTATTTTTCTATAACAATATGTACAGGACTCTAGTTGTAAAACCAAGTCATTAACCTCAAAGAATTCATAATAGAGAATGATTTAAACTCAACCTGCAACATTATTAATGGAACTATTAATACCATTGTTATTCATTCAACATGTATTTTTTTGAACATTAACTATAATGTAAGCCAGACATTGTGTTAGACCCAGAGAACACAAAGGGCAAAGAGAAAATGCCCATCTGTGCTCTCGTTCTTTCACATATACATACACATGTAAGATCCAGAGCCCTTTTCTCATTTTCATATTTACCTGCTTCCTACCTATTTCTTTCTTTTAAGCACTCACATTTGTCTTTCACCAATAGACCTCTTTATTATCCTCAAAAAACTGTAGCAATAATAAAAGCAATATTACCCTGAAAAAAGATATGCCAAAATTATCTAGCACATACACTTTCCCCCTACATTTTGACATTTGCTAAGTTGGGAGAAAAGAACAGAGGAAGAAGGAAAATATCCTTAACACTAGATTTAGAAGACCCCTTACCCCATGCGTTGTCTAGTACTACCACCTTATCTTACCTTTTCTACCACCTGAGCTAGAAAAGAGACAGGGTGTGGGATGACAGAATTTCCAGAATTCTCCCGTCTAGCCTTAGTTCATTTACACAGCAGTAGGTGTTTGCGACTGAAGAGCCTCCCGTCCATCTGGGGCAAGAGGTGGAAAGGAAACAGCCATTCTCTCTTCCCTTCTGTTCCTGGTACATAATTGGTGTGGCATCTGTCAGTCACCAAGGACCCGCCAATGGAGTTCCTGCTAGAAGGGGAAGGCAGGAAGCAGAGAGTGAGCTGAGGCGGCGGAGCAAGAGCAGTGGCCGGAGGAGACTGATGGGGCCCTGCCTAGCTAGTGAATTTCAGCAAGCTGTGAGCAATAAAAAAGGTTTCTCCCAACCTACCCTTTCCCTTGAGTTCCTTTGGTTTCACCAGTTTCAAAGGGGGATTTGCCCCGGGTTAGGAACACCCTTCCCCCCTGGGCTACACAGGGAATGAACTTAATAGCTCTATCTTCTACTTTGCTACTGCATGTCTCATTTCCCACTGAGCCTTTGTCACTATGATGGATCAGGTTCTCATCTGTGCAAATTGTCTCAACTTCCCAGAAACATAAGATCATCATCTGCTTCATAATACAGGTGATATGTAGGAATAAAAAGAACAAAATAACACAACATACTGTAATTATAACTCTTAAACCCCTACAATACTCGATTTCTTCTAAAAAGCAAGTCTTTTATGTCGATTGACATAATTATCTTCATAATAGGTGGAGAATTAACAATTATTAAAACCGCCATCTAATTGTATGCGGAAGTGGAAATAAAATCACCATCCATTTTATGGATGAGAAGATATTCCAAGAGGTTGAGACTCACTAAGGTTACATAACAGCAGAGCTAGAACCCATCCTATACCATGGGTACTAAATGTAGTCACGTGACTTCCCCCCCTCCCATACTATACAATTCTTTTCTAGAGAACCGTTAATTCCTAGAAATATACTTTATAATGATGATAATGAGACAGACTGGCCTAGAAATATGATACTCAACTAACCTGCAGGTAGGATTACCTATTTTATGATTAAGGGATCTGCTTAGAGTTTCAAATTATTCAAATGACCATAAGTTAGGAGATCTACTAAAGACACACAGGTTGTAATTCTATCAGAAAAACTAATAATTTCCTTATTTGTAAAATGGGGCCAATACTCCTAGCATAGGATCCTGGTGAAGATTAATGGCAATAGTAAATGGTGAGTGTTTCACAGTACACCTAGCATGCTGTAAGCTCTACTATTTACACTAAACCATTTGTAGCCAGTAGGTCTGTCACATTGCTAGTAAAGGCAAATTCTGGTGCACTAAGACCCCCACGCCTTAAGATCCAATCACCACTGCCCAGATGGTCGCCTACCCCTTAAGATCCAATCACCAATGACCAGATGGTCACCCACCCCTTAAGATCCAATCACCAACACAGAATGCACCCCAACCCCTACTCCTTAAAAATGCACTTCCTCACCCACGAGCTACTGCTCCCTCTCTCTGGGGGCAGCCATTTTCTCTTTCAGATAATAAAATCTCTTGCGTGGGCCAGTGTCTCCTGAGTTGCCCTGGGGTAAGGAGGGTCGGCAAGATACCCTTTCAGCTAGTGTTTTATAACTAAATTGTACTTTAAATAGGTTTTTCTATTTATCAAAATTTTTAAAAATTATATTTAGTGTACTTTGGTTTAATTTTGGGTTTTACTTTTTAAGCACTAAAAAGTTGCCAGCCATACTTTGCAAATCTAGGAAATATAGAATTAAAAATTCTTCCTCAGTGATCTTTCCATACTCTGCTTGAATCCATTTGGTTTTGTTAAAAAACAACTTAACTGAGTAAATCTGAAAGATCTAAATGACCTTACCAATAGATTCATGAATTGGGCAGCATCCCATCTAGCAAGTAGAGGGGAGCTCCCAGAAGTTGTACAGAATGGAAGGTGTTCATATGAAGGCGGGGAAGATAAGACGTTATTAGCTAAAGAAAAGAAGGGACTGGTTCAGGCAGTCACCTTTCCTTAGGGGTAAGAGCAAGGGAGGTCTTATCATGCAGATGACCTCATCCTTCTTCTGGGGGTGAAGAAGGCCCATGTAACACATTACCTGACTGGTGCTGACCAGGAAATAAATGACTGACTTGTTAATGCTACATTTCTGGGGAAGGCTGAAACTGCAATTAGGTTAAGTATTAAGTCCTAGTTTGGTGACTTGGTCTAGCATAAGTGACTTCATTTTAGCTCTGTGGTTCTTTTAGACAGTTCAAATGAAAATTAAAGGGATAAGAAAAGTGTTAGAAATGTATTTCAAGAGAGAATGAACAGATCAATTCACAAAGACAAAGCAAAGGCACGTTATGAGAGAAGGGAAGAAGTAAAATTAAATAGGAATTTCTGGCAAGAAATACACGAGTAAGTTAGAAAAAGAATTGCTATTACAAAATGTGCTGCTGATGATCAAGAATGACTCACCTAAGCATATTATTTACTATTCTTAAAATTCTCTGTGGCTGTGTGATCTTGTCAGGACACTTCACTGGTCTGGATCTCAGAGCCCACTTCTGATAAAGGGGTGGTGATAGAGTTAAACATATACCTCTATACTCCCCCCCACCTCCCCAGGCTCTCTGAGGGAAGAATGGGTGGAACTGGGCAGACTGCCCTCCAGTGTTGGGGAGCAGAACTCTGTGGGATTTACTGCTACTCACAAAGCACGGGGCGTCGGTGGCTTCAGTGGGAATCAGCCATTTCCACTAGGCTGAGGCCCAGGAGTCCAAATTTTGGCCTGTCAGTGGTTCAATTATTAACACATTTCCTGGTGACTGAGAAAACTCTCCGGGAACTATGTATACATCCAATAATGTTTAATCTGGTAATTATTTTCCTTCGAAGATTATTTTAGGTATGGACCACCAGGGGAAAAAAGCTACACACACACACACACACACACACA